ATGTCATAAGCCAAAATAAATGAGGGAAAAATATGAATTTTTAATAAGAAATGGCACCTCAGGGCCCTGAGTTTTTTAGCACAATTAAAGTCCAGGTGAGGAGAAGGTAGAGTTGCTTGTCTGAAAAGTATGAGGTTCTTTTTTCCAGCTTTATTCAGCCATAACCTTCCAATTGGAGCTGGCATATTAATGCTTCAAAGGAATGTCGAAGGGCTCAATTTATGAATATTAAGTGCCTCATTATTAAAGCTTCCGACCCTTTGCTTCAGCTGTATTCAGTGTAGGTATAAAAAGGTGCCACTCATTAGAGTCCATCAACAAGCTCATCGTTGAGAATGTCTCTTTCCCTACTGTGCTTCCAATGTCCTCATTTTCTTTCTAATTGTCATTTTACATTTCCACTGAGGAGATTATATTAATCTTCCAGAGAAGTCTTTCCTATCTGGCCACTCAGTATTCTGGCATATTTGGGCCAGGCCTTGGGCTATAGACAAGATAAAGCTAAATGATTAGTAGCCAACTCTTATATTACTGCACCTTTCTGTTACCATGATTGGATTGGATTCTTCTTGATTCCCACTGGTGTACTGCCATTTTGTGATGGCAGGAAAAAAGTGGGATCAAGCTCCTTGAATCAAATGACCAGGATAAACTAGGCTTCCTAGGGGAGGAAACATCTCCCTTTGATTTCAACAGAGGTCAAAGTTGGAAAGGATTGGAGGTGAAAATCAAAAGTTAGTTCTGATAGTTTCATTGGAAAAAAAAAATACAAGATAACTCATGGACCATAAGTCAGTTTCCCAAATTCCTGCCAGGCAAAGAAATAAGTCAACATTATGATATGACAGCCAAGAAAGCTAATAAAATCTTAGAATTCTCTAAGAAAAGCATAGAGTTAAAGACTAGGAAGGTGATAAGACCCAGTGCACTCTGCCCCATTAGAACACATCTGGATTGACGTGTTTAGTTTGAGGTGCCACATTTTAAGAAAGACATTGATAGTGTAGAACACGTCTTGAGGAGGTTAACTAGTACAGTAAAGTGACTCAACTTCAAAACCAGGTAAAGGACTAGAGATGTTTCGCTTGGAGAAGAATAAACAGTGGGAACATGATAGTTGTCTTCAAATATTTGTAGGGCTGTGACATAGAATCTACATGTGTTTACCTGCTATGTACCAAGCACAGTGCTAAATAGTGGAGATACAAATACAAAAGTGGAACAGTCCTTGCCCTCTACGTGGGAGGGGGAAAACTATATGTAAATATGTACATATTAAATGTATGCAAAATGGAGACGAAACAGCTTAAGGAGGAAAAGTAGTTATGGCTGGGGAGATCAGGAAAGATTTCATGTAGAAGATATGGTGGCATCTGAATCTTGAAGGAAATCAGGGATCTACAAGTCAGATGTGAGAAGTAAGAGCATTCCAGACATAGAGGGGAGAGAGTGCAAAGGCAGGGAGTATGTGAGCAATAGCAAGTAAGTTAGTATGTCAAGACTATAAAGTGTGTCGAAGCAGTGATGATGATGGTGAGGATGATGATGTGATGATGATGATGACTAGAAGGGGCCAGATTATGAAGATCTTCAAATTTCAGAGTTTTTATTTCTTCCTATAGGTAATAGGGAACCACTTCATTTTACTGAATAGAGAGGTAATGTGGACAGATTTGCGTGTTAGGAAAATCGCTTTGTTGGTATTGCGGGAAATGGATTGGAATGGGAAGAAATCTGAGGTAAGGACACCAAAGAGAAGGGGGTAACAATAATCCAGGCAAGAGGTGATGAGGACTTGAACCAAGGTGATAGTTATGTGAGTAGAGAGAGTGAGACACATGCCAGAGGTATTGTGGAGATAGAAATAATGTGATTTCACAACTGATTAGATATGTGGGAAAAGGGAATATGATGAATTGAGGTTGTAAACCTTGGTCACTAGAAGGATGGTGGTGGCGTCAACAGTAATAAAGAAATTTGGAAGAAGGATGGATTGGAGGTTGGGAGGTGGGGGAAGCTAATGAATTCTATTTTGGACATGCTAAGTTTGAGATACCTACATTACATCCATTTGAGATTGTCCAATTGGCAATTCATTATATAGGACTAAAGCTCTGGCGAGAGACAAGGACTTTATATACAGATCTGTGAGTCATCAGCATAGGGAGGATAGTTGAACTCTTGGGAGCTGATGAAATCACAAAGAAAAAACTTGTAGGGAAGGGGGTGGGGCTGGGATTCTATTGTTCTGATCGGCCCTTGGGCAGAACTAAGGGTAGAGATTATAAAGAGACATTTTTTAGAAGTTTAACATCATGAAACAATTAAATAATTAGGGCTATTTAAAAGTATAACCAGGTGCATTAGGAAGTAATAAGTTCCCCCTCACCTGAGGTATTCAAAGGCTAGGTGCCAATTTGTCAGGTATATTGTAGAGATGATTTTTTTGTTCAGGAATAGATTGACCTGTGATTTCTCCTCTAGCCCAAAGAATTCTTCAAAGAGTTACTCTTGGCTTACAGTCACAAAAGATTAGCTCTTTAACAGACCCCTGGGTCTTGTCAGCAGCCACCACAGAGAGTACAGAAGCAAGGGAATTCACGAGAACCAGCTTTAATGAATGAGTGAACTATTTCAAATCAGCTCCAAACATTCCAGGAGAAGCAGTTCACTCTTTCAGAGTCTACATAAAAAAACTCACAAATGTCATAATGATAAACTTTTGAAGATAAGCATCTATCCCTCTGGTTATTTAGAGGTAGAAGATGACATTCAACCCTGGGTGGGGAATTCGAGATCAGAGCCAATAAACCAAGTTCCACCCTCTTACTTTACATAAAAATTGCTTCAGTTCTTTGCTACCCCACACTACTAAATTGAAATTCCTCAATGCCTTTCTTTCTGCCTATTAATGTTTCACTAATAACATGTTTTTTTCTATAGAGGAGGTGAGGCATAATCATTTGCATTTCTATGCATGTAATTTCATTGTAGACAATTTCTACCTCCCAGATTGATTTTCTTTTTTTTTTTTTTTTACTAAAGGTCAAAGAGACCACTCATTGCCTCATTTCTTACTTAGCTTTAATCACTGAATGGATCTTTCCTTGGTCAAACTGAGACCTGTTAAAGACCTGTTAATAAGGCCACAGTCTCCCACTACATCCAGGGCCACCTCCAGTTGTCCTGATCAATATCTTACCACTGGACTCAGATGGCTCCGGAGGAGAAAGTGAGGCTGGTGACTTTGCGCAGCCCTCTATCACTTAAATCCAATTCACTTGCATGTCATGGCGTCAACTCCCTGAAGTCATGGTCTTCTTCAAGAACAAAGGACAAGTAACAACTGTAGACAATTTATTGTCAATATATACCAGTGCTCTCACTCCAGACATACCTTTCCATTCCCTACATAATTTCTTTCGCTTTAATCAGATGTTACAATCGGTTGTTGTTATTGTCATTGGGAAATTGATCAGACAGATCCACAGAACCCATCTTTTCCTTTGCTTGGCATATATACGTGTTCATAGCCCGGTGCAATTATCTTTCCCTTCGTCTGTACCTGGTTACAGAATTGATGCAGGAGACTGCCCTGCTTAGATTCGGCCCAGGTATTCCACAGGCCTGGGTTAAGTTATTAATCATTAAGTGATGGTGGTAATTGGGCAGCAACAACCAAATGTAAAGAAGCAGATTTACACTTCAGGTAGACATCAGTTTGTGTACTGGAACAAAGCTTGGAGAGCCCCTCTACAAGCTGGCACTTCTGCTGAAAGCAGAAAGGAAAATTCTTGAATGCCCATATGCCCATAATTTGACTCAATGGGTGGATGAAATCATGTCACAGGGATCACTCAAACAAAATGCAAGGCAGGAAGGGAAGGACTGAGGGTTGGAAAAGGAATAAAAATTTGAGCATGCCCAGTTGACAGTTGGATGCCATCAATTGCTGCCAATTCTGTCCTACATCCTAGAAATTCCTACACGGAAACTTGGATTGGATAAACCTAAGTCATCTTTCAAGAGATGAAACATTTTTCTTTTTCCATTACATTCACAAGATACAAGCATGTGTTTGTCTAGCAAAATACACGAATGTGTTTGTATTCTTACGTTGCAGAAAATATTTGGATATTGAGTAGGTAAATCACATGGATTCCAGAGATATGCATTTTTATAGGTTTGTGAATGGAAGAAAAGATGCTAATATCTTGGCTTTAAAGGGAAATTAGAAGCAGCCTTAATGATCATTACAGTGCCAAGAATAATTCAACCAACAGGGATGAGAAGCGCCACACACACCTGGACCATTCTACTAAAGCCAAACTGAGCGGTGGACCTCTGATCATCATTGCCCAGGACTCTGTCCCTGAGCTTAGCCACCCAAAGCACAAGCCAAAACACAAAAGGTTCTGTTTTTTGTGGCCAGAGTGTCCACCGCTGAAATAATAATAATAGTAAGTGAGAAATTGAAACCCTAAGGAGAGCAACATGCTAGCAGAGCCACAGGCTGACTCCAGGTCCCAAATGCCAGTCCCCAGCCAGAGGATTCAGTGCCAAGGGGCTGTGTGCCAAATTATAACCAGATCTCAGCCCTGCGGTCCAAGTATTAAAGATGCCCTGAGATCTGAGTGAACCTGACTAATAGAAAACATATGGTAGGTTGTGGGGGGTTTTTTCTTTTTACTCCAGTTTCCATTTTTACTTCAGTCAGGAAAAGGGCTCCTGGAGTGCAGGGTTTGGGGTTGCCTGAGGCATGAGCTCATGTAGCCCTGATTGGAGCTTTAAATGTGAACTAGAAAGTGCAGTTTCCAGTTTCTCTGGGAGCAAATGAGGCATCAGCCTGTTGTCTTAAGCTACAAAGTCTGCTCTAGGGTTTAATATTAAAATTCTCTAGCTAACTGATCAACTTCTTCTTGCTGTCCCTGTGAGCTTAAAATTTGAGAAGTGAAACTTAACACTTCACCTCTGCAGGGGGGAGGCGGGGGAAAAGCCCTTTTTTGTCTGGTTTGTCTGAGGGTGCTCTGGATGGTATTTTGAGACTCACAGATCCACACCCCACCATCATGAAGATTTTTATGGCTCCTTTCCTTGCATTGGTTCTGTTATGCCCCAGCTGCCACAGCAAATGGACCACACACACTGCCTGCAAGGATGACAAATTGGAATTGCTTTACCAGAGTTGCGGTGAGGTCTTTAAAATCATCCATTTGTGTTTATGGCACAATTAAGGCCACCGACAGAGGAGAGTAAATTCTTGGTGGGAGGAGGGGTTGAGTACTACCACCAAACTCTTTTTTCCTACTGTCTAACACGGGCCTTGTTCCTTTGGGAGGAAAGGAAAAGGGAGATGGAAAGGAGAGAGAAATGAGAAAGAAAGAGGAGAGGGACAATGAGAAGGAATAGAGGGAAAGACAGAGAGGGAGAAAGAAAGGAAGAGGAAGGAAAGAAAAGAAAGGGGAAGAGGAGGGCAAAGAAGAGTGGAAAGGGAGGATGGAGAGAGAGAGCAGGAGAGGAGAGATCCTTTTACCCAGGAGAGCTCTCAAAGGAATAAAACTGATCTAACAAAGTATATGTTTACTAGATTGAAATAAGGAAAAGCACCCCCTACCCAGTTCAAAGACAATTTAACAACAGAAAGTGGTATAACTGTGATGTTTTTTCAAGTTTATTGGATTTGCAGTTTGTGTGAGGAAAAAAAAAAAACATGTCGTTTCTTCCTCCACATTACTAATCACTCCAAAAAGGGTAAAGGATCCTGCAGATTACTTCCCTTTTCGCTGACAATTCTGGGTCTTAAGGTAGGGCGGGATCTTAGCAGATCTTGAATCTGGCGCTTCCCCCCCCCCACGTTTGTTGGGGACTCTGAAAAGGTTAAAGAAAATCCCCTCCAGGTTGGCCTAGGTGGGAGGGAGATGACGGCCTTTCATTATACCAGCGAAACTTGGTTCTACCTAAGATGAGAGTATGCACACAGAGCAGAATGTAAGGCTTTTCTTGGCTGCCTTGGAACTCCTGGTGGAATTTGAGCCAAGTAATGAAATTCTAGTGATTCTACCATCTAAAGGACCACAGAGTCAAAGCACTTGCTGGATACTCAGGACACTTAAAGTTAAAACTACCTGTCTTTCTTTTCTTTTCCTTTTACCCCTCCCCAAAAGGAGAGGTACATTGGGTTGGTTCCACCTCACAAAAGAAATTAGAAATGTTTGAATGCCAAAATATTGCCTTCTTTGCTGCCTGACTTCATTATGGCTGTGATTACTTTGGACACTTTTACTAGGATCAGTGGAATAGGCCCCTTTCTTTTCATGTACATGAAATGACAACAAGGCTGAAAACAAATCAGCAGGCCAGAGAGTCTTTCTCTAATTCATCTTCATCTCAAAGATTCTTTTAAGCTTCCTCCTCTGTTAAATGGTGATGATAACAGCACCTACTTCACAGGGTCGTTCTGAGGACCAGATTAGATAGATAGACAGACAGATAGATAGGTAGATACATACATAGATAAAGAGATAGGATAGATAGATAGATAGATAGATAGATAGATAGATAGATAGATAGATAGATAGATAGATAGATAGGATAGATACATAGATGTATAGATACGTAGGATAGATACATAGATAAATAGATATATAGATACATATGTAGATAAATAGGCTAGATAAATACATAGATACCTAGGTGATAAATACATAGGAGAGATAGACAGACAGATAGGATAGATACATAGATAAATAGATACATACATACATACACACATCATAGATAGGTAGATACATAGATATATAGACACATAGATGATAAATACATAGATCATAAGATAGATAGATAAATGGATGGATGGAAAGATAGATGGATAGGATAGACACATAGGTAAATAGATAGATAGGATAAATATATAGGATAGATAGATACATAGATGATAGATAAATACATAGATACATAGGATAGATAGATAGAGGTAAAGCATTATGTAAATGTTAGCAATCATCAGTATTAGAATCCCATGGTTGTCCTGTTGCCCAGCCTTTGCCTTTTTATTCTCATCTCTGCCTTGTGAACGGATTCCAATAAATGCCTTGAGATATTAGGGGAAGTGGAGAAAGCAGTGTCAGCCTCACTCCTCCAAAAGGCAGACACCCACTCACCCTAGGATAAACCTTTTGGCCAACAGCAAGATGCAGTTGGGAAGCCTCCCCTTGTCAGCCAGGATCGTGGCAGGAATATGAGAGCTGAGTGGAAGGAATTTCTTTGGAAAGATGTTTCTTATGAAACAGGAGGTTTTGCCCAAGCTAGTAGATCTGAGTTGGGCAAATTTAGCCTGGGGGAGATTCTAAAGCCCTGACTACAGTACCTGTGAAGGAACTAGGGTAAAATTCATACCTTAGATTAGAAGCAAAGAAATTAGATTTGTTTCCCAGCTTGACTATATGATGCTAGGCTGATTCTTGACCACTGTATCAAGGTTTTCCGATCTTTCTAATACTGGAAGCAGTGGCAGAGTATATAGAAAGCTGGTCTCAAAACCAGTGATAATTAAATTTTATTTTATTAGCTTCCGGAAACAGTGTGGTGTAGTGAATAAGAGCTGACCTCAGAGTCAGGAATACCTCGGTTCAAGTCTCACCTCTGACACATTCTGGTGTTTAACCCTGGTATCAAACAGACTGTATGCTGCCCACAACATTTTCTAGTGTGGCCTGAACCAGATTAAAATGTAATTGGAAATATATTTAACAAAATAAACAAAAATATAATAAAACACAGATAATATTACAATTTAAAATTAAGTCAATATGGAGCCATCAGGGATTCTTATGTATGGATTAGTGGCCCGTTTTTATTTGAGTTTGACGCCATCCCTCTAGGCATTGCACTGAGACTCTAAGTCATAGAGAAGGTGTCACACCTGTATTAATAGAGGAAATTTCCTTGCTTGGTACAGATCCCTATTCCAATGAAATCACAGGCCAGTTCCTATTTCTAATAAATCCCGTAGGGTGTCAGAATACTCTTCAACTACTCTCAGTAAACTACCTCAAGATGTCTGGATTAAGATGGTAACTCAATTTCCCATTATTGAGCAAGAAATAATGAGGATAAAATCCAAGGTTTAAGAACTTTAACACCACTTCTGAGGGGAGCTGGGACTTTGTAATTGGGTTTCTCAAAGGGATAGTAATGTGCTGTGGTGCACTGGAGCCAGCTGAATAAACTCAGGAGACCTGATTGTTAAATGTTCAATATGAGCATTCACATCTCCGAAATCAGTAAATGCTACAAATTAGTGCTTGGTTTATTGTTTTGTTGACTGTCCAGACTTACAAAAATGATGGAGAAAATATTAATAATGTAGATTAAACTTAAAAGCGTGTCAGGCAAACTTTTTTTTTGAGAGCCAGTTATTAAACATTTACCTGTACAATCCTGGGTAATGGGATTATAAGGTCACAGTTTTAGCCCTGGAAAGTACCTCAGAGGCAATCAAGTCCAGCCCCCTTATTTTACAAATGAAATAGAAGCCAAATGAGGTTAAGTGACTTGTCCAAATCACACAGACTGTGTCTGAGGCATACTTTGAACCCAGGTCTTTTGACTCCCAAGCCATTGTGGCATCTTCCATTATAAATGTCAGAATCTATTCTCAATTTCTTTCTAGATTCTCCAATCCCACCTTGCCCATCTCAGCTCCGCCACTGACTCATAGGGTGACCTTGAGTAAGGGATTTCATTTCTCTCAGACTTTTCTTCATTGTTAAAAAGTTTCATTTTTAAGCCTGTTGTTAAATCATAACAAATGTTCTGTTGGTTAATATTGGTATGCTGTAAAGACCCAGCATGGGAAGTGGGGCCCAACAATGGAATTCCCAGGGACAAGAGGAAAAGGATGTGAGGTATAGCAAGACACAGGAGACAGAGGAGCCCAAAGAGATTTGGACAAAAGCACAAGGTTGTGCTGATCTAAGAAGCTGAGGGAAGAAAGGAACAATCATAGTTTATGTTTACATCTTGCTTTATGGTTAGGAAGTACTCTCACAGCTATAATCTCATTTGACCTGCCTAATTACCCAAGGAGAACAGAAACTGAAAGTATTATTGTCACTGTTTTATAAATAAGGAAACCAAAGTTCAGGGGCTAAAGGATTTGTATCAAGTTGTGCAGCAATAAATAGCAGAGCTAGGATTTGAATTCAAATCTTCTGACTCCAAATCCAATATTTTTTCCACTTTACCATATTGTCTCCCTCACAAGAGGGAGGGTTTTCTGGAAAAACACTGAAAGAGCTTGTTGTGAAAAAAGATGAAAATTATTGTCAATGTTTGATGTATTTGGGAGATAGGGGCGGAGAGAGGTAAGGTTAAACGGTGATTATGGATGTTGGTAAGGCCAATATGGTCAGTAGAAGAATAGTATGGGGCTTGGAGGCAAAGAATATGTCATGAGTACACAACAGTATTAAGGCAGGAAGAGTTTGATAAACTTCCTGATCATCTGTGTTTAGCTAATTAACAAGTAAAAGCAAGTCATGATTATAGTTACTATTATGTACAGTATTTTTATCTGATCAAAATATGGAATGATAACATTGGAGCATTTTGTGACATTTCAGTGGAAAGTATGGGCCTTGAACATAATACACTTCTTTTCCCCCTATGGTGCCTGTTCTATATCCCAAGTACTACTCAAAGAGGAAGGAAGTTTTCCAACCAATGAAATAGAAAAGAGACCATGACAACAGTTTTCTGAGGCATCAGGCATCTTCCGGTCTGGCTAAAACAAGAATTTTTCTTAACACCCTAGCTACAATCTACAAAGGGGTTTCAGCCTGCAGGAACCTACTGTCTGTTAGCAGACTGGGTGTCTCGAGGAATGCCCACCATAAATGCATGTTGACACAGGGTGGGTACTCAGATGTTCAGATGAGTTGAGGATCTCTTGAGGTGAGGAATTCTCTCCAACAATGCGGACCACAATCATTCATGCTTGCCCATCCTATGTAGCTTGTCAATGGTCTCTCAAAAATTCACCACGTAGGGCCTACCTAATGTGTTGGAGACTTTCCTAGCTTTTTCCTCACATTAGGACAGTACCAGTGGAGGGCACTACCTGTCAGAGGTTCCCAAAGTGGCCAATACCACCCCCTGGGGGCGCTGGAATGATCCAGGGGGGCAGTAGT